GATTGAAAGCTAAACCATTTTAAGGAGCAATCCATCTTTTACTGGTATAAACTCAAATGGAAATGTGTATGTGTGAGTGTGATATCTGTTATATACATATATCCAAACTGATCTCCCTCTATGAACCATCTTGGAGGTTAAGATCATCTGGGGAGGCCCTGATCTCGGTCCCACCTCCTTCACAGGCATGACTGGTGGGGATGAAAGACAGGGCCTTCTCAGTGGTGGCCACTTGTCTATGGAACTCCCTCCCCAATGAAATCAGATCTGTCCTTCCTCTCCTGATCTTCAGGGGGAAAAAACTTAAGACGTGGCTTTGGGACTAAGCCTTTGACAAGTAATTGGAGCAGTACAATAAGTGATCATGAATCAGAAGAGAAAGAGAAGAAATGATGTAAACATGTGTTACTAAGGGAAAATGTTTTGAATGTATTGTTGAAAGCTTTCATTGCTGGAATCACTGGGTTGTTGTAGGTTTTTCGGGCTATATGGCCATGTTCTAGAACATGGCCATATAGCCCGCAAAACCTACAACAACCCAATATTTGGATGTTTGTATTATTTTGTGTAGCACCATTCACAGTAATTTTGAAAATAAAAAAGGCAAAAAAAAAATGAATCAATGTGATTGACAAATAGAACAGCCCTGGATTATGATTTGGATGGCATGATTTTAATGGATGCTTAATAATTTATGTTTTAATTGTTTGGTTTTAGTTGTAATTGTTTATTTTTAATATATGTGTGTATGGCATCAAATTGCTGCCTGTTGTAAGGCCGCCTTGAGTCCCCTCTGGGGTGAGAAGATCAGAATATAAATATGGTAACTATAGTAAATGAACACACACACACACACACACACAGTCTTTGCTTCCATCTTTCACCTGTCTTTGCTTTCATCTGAAGGATTTTTAACCCAGGCTTTCCACACACACACACACACACCCCACCACCAAAAAAAAAAAAATCCAAAAGCCTAAACCTGAATCAATAGCAACTTGGTAAGACAACACCCATACATTCCCATTGATTCAATGAGTCTACCCCAGTTGGGAGTGGCAACTGGATTGAACCAGGCCAACTCCCCTACTCCCCCAAAGCTAGGACTTCTCTAAGTGGAGCAATCAAGGCACATTCTAAATACACTTCCCTTGTCCTAGACAATCTGCATAGGGAATTGCCCAATATTAAATACTGTGGCTGCCTGATCTCCAAGAATATGATTAATTATGGATTCCAACACACACACACATACACACATGCTCTTAATCTCCGCTCCAGTGCCTGCCGTATTTAAATGAGTCCCCATGAGGGAAGGAGGAATCCGCCCAGCACCAGGATAGAGTACTGCCTCTCACATCCTCCTGCTCCCCCATGGGTTTTCAAGGTAAACAATGCCCACCTTCCTTTTATCCTTCAAGAATGCTACAAGCTGTGTCAGCTTCACAGATTCTAGCTTCTCTAACTAGGACACCGAGACCCTTAGGAAGACGCTCCCATTGTCTAGGCTGCTAATGCTGTCTCGCGCAGAGAGGGGAAAGAAAACAGAACTGTGTGCACAATCTGTTCCTGTGCAAGCCTGGCGTCTTGGCCGTGTGCATTTCCGAGCCTCAGCCCAGGCCACCGGTGAGGTGACCATTGCCCGAAATGTCTGAAAATAGCCAAGTGATTGTAGGAAAAGGTATCGGCTTGCTTCAAAACAGAAGAGCAAGAGGTGGCATTTTTCAGAGCCAACCAGCCAACTCCCGAAGGTGTGGTCTTCTTCCCATTGACAGCCACCTTGGAGGCTGAGACCCTACCGCTTATTGTCTGTCTGCTGGGATTCCCCAAATTCCTATTCATACATAGCTCCAACCCCATCTTTTGAGAACACCCTTCACACACACACACCAAAACACCTCGTCTCCATTTGCACTCTTTGAGGGAGAAGCCTTTCTCTTTGTCTTTAAGGCCCCCGTCATTACACTCCTATAAAGGCTGCTACAAGGAGGAGGAGGAGACATTCCTGGAGGCATCCTCCCAGCATAAGCAAATAAAGGGTACCAAATGGGCCATGTTTCACACAAGGAAAGGGTTTTGGCAGTACAAACCTAGTCACAAATACTAACAGGCACACCTTATTGTGTTTCCCGGGGTTTACTGATAGGAAAGTATACTTAAGGCCACAGCTCCAAGCCCTATGCCAACCTGCTCAATCCTATCAAAGGGTCTAGGACTCATGTAAACAGAGGTCTGGTTTATGGCTTCCATGTCATCTTCCAGTTCCTCCCCCAAAATGTCAAGGCAAGCCATCTCTACAGGTGGCAACCTCCTGAAATGAAAAGGGGATCTACAGGCCATCCCCAAGGTTACCAGCCACCCAACCCCATGCAACTCCCACAAAATGCTGTATAGTCCATAGTCTGGGAATGTTTAGCCTGCAAAAGAGAAGGCCAAGAGGAGACATGATAGCCATGTATAAATATGTGTGGGGAAGACATAGGGAGGAGGAACAATTGCTACAAGAGAGGAGATTCCACCTGAACATTAGGAAGAACTTCCTGACTGTGAGAGCTGTTCAGCAGTGGAACTCTCTGCCTTGGATTGTGGTGGAGGGTCCTTCTTTGGCGGTTTTTACACAGAGGCTGGTTGGCCATCTGTCGGGGGTGCTTTGAATCCAATTTTCCTGCTTCTTGGCAAGAGGTTGGACCGGATGGTCCACGAGGTCTCTTCCAACTGTATGTTTCTATTATTCTAGGAAAGCGCTCCTGGTCTCAAGAAAGCACCCCTCCCCTTATGGGAGGGGTCTCACAACATGAGGAGGTTGGCAGGTGAGTGGAAAACCTCTTGGTGGGTGTAATTTCCTCCCTACCCAAAGAGCCAATGCCCAAGAAAAGCCCTTTGATAGTGGGATGTACTTTTTTTTTTCATCTATTGTCTTTTGATTGATATGTTTTCAAAATAACTGTTAATATTTTTCACTCCAATTAGTTTTATATGTATCTCCTTTTTTTGCAAATTGCTTTATGTCTCAGCACTGGGGAGAAAGGTGTGGTATAAACAAACACATACAAAGGTAGTACAATACAGGAAATAGCTCATCAGCACCAAAGTATACAGCCTTTCCAGTGAGAATAATACAGATCAACATGAAAAATTGTTCTTTTGATCACTATCACTATAGATAGATAGATACATTCATTCTACCCCCCACATCACAGTATGTTCAAAGTAAAGCCTTGGCATGTATCCCGCACCCTGTCTGTTCCCATCTTGGATCATTTGGTATCCTGGAAAGCAAGAGTACAAAGAAATGGACCTGGTCCACACGTTGGCCAAGCTACCAGGTGAGATCAGGTGCTGTCTGGGACATCTAGTCCCTCTCTCTGTTTCTCTGCTGGCCAGAGCCCACAACAACCTGGCAGACAGACGGGAAGCAGATGGCTTGGCCCACACCTTGGCATCTCCAGCAACACTTGGCCACAGGGCCCCTCCACACTCAGAAATGCCCTTCCCCTCCCAAGAAAACCATCAGTAGCTTCTTCTCTTATCTCAGCAACTCTCTTTCCTGGATTAGCTGCCATATTGACAATCAGACAGTAAATCTGGTAAATCCAGATTTGTTCTGGTAAACAAATCTGGTAAATCCGCTCTTTGGGTGCTGTGATGCTTGGGCCACACCTTGGCCTCACCTTTGCCCTTTGTGCCAATATCTTTTGGAACAGCACACTGAGGAAAAGTGTGAAGGAGGCAAGGTGGTCTATTCTGCCTTGGCACCATGGCTATCCAACAAAGAACTCCTTGCCATCCTATCCCATCCTAGGTAAACACTTTTGTGAGGTAACTTGGTGTGACCCTTCGCCTCTCAAACATGAACCACTCCAGATCTTCCATCAATATCCCTAGCTAAGTACAACTGGCACACATACCCACCCCACCTTCGCCCACCCATTGGCGCTGCTTGGATGCTTTTTGACCTGTATGGGTCTCTGGAAGCCCGCCAATTAAAAGTGACAACTGAAGGGAGATGTTAACAAGCTGGAATGTGTCCAGAGGAAGGCGACTAAAATGATCAAGGGTCTGGAGAACAAGCCCTATGAGGAATGGCTTAAAGAGCTGGGCATGTTTTGCCTGCAGAAGAGAAGGCTGAGAGGAGACATGATGAGGGCCATGTATAAATATGTGAGGGGAAGTCATAGGGAGGAGGGAGCAGGCTTGTTTTCTGCTGCCCTGGAGACTAGGATGCAATGGAGCAATGGCTTCAAACTGCAGGAAAGGGGATTCCACCTGAACACGAGGAAGAACTTCTTAACTGTGAGAGCTGTTCAGCAGTGGAACTCTCTGTCCCGGGAGTGTGGTGGAGGCTCTTTCTTTGGAGGCTTTTAAGTAGAAGCTGGGTGGCCATCTGACAGGGGTGCTTTGAATGTGATTTTCCTGCTTCTTGGTTGGACTGGATGGCCCACGAGGTCTCTTCCAACTCTAGGATTCTAAGACAAGGAGGTCTAGTGGCCTACTTTACCTTGGCACTGGGGTTACCTGATGATGTGATTTTAATATATATGTTGTTTTATGCTGTTATGTGTTCAAGGCACTGAATTGTGCCTTTGTTGTAAGCCACCCTGAGTCCCCTCCGGGGTGAGAAGGGCAGGATATAAATAAAATAAAACAAAATAAATAATAATACGAGACAGAGAAGTTCCCAAGATGAGACAATTTGCTATGGCCTGACCCAGTGGTTCTCAACCTGTGGGTCCCCAGGTGTTTTGGCCCACAACTCCCTGAAATCCCCGCTAGTTTACCAGCTGTTAGGACTTCTGTGAGTTGAAGGCCAAAATATCTGGGGACCCGCAGGTTGACCCAATTCTCCTGGCACCTGCTCCAAAGAAATGACCCTTTGTGGGGTAATTTGGCATGACTCTCCCCAATTTTCAAGCACTGCCCCATCCAAATCTCTCCCCAACATCCCACCAAAGCAGACATAAACCCTGACCCCACTTTTGCCCACACAGTTGCCTACTGACCTGTTCGGGTCCCTGGAAGCAAATCCGGCACTGCGGGGTCCTCATGCCACTATCCAAGCTGCTGCTGAGCGACACCGAGTCCAAGGCTCCCCCTGTCCCGGCCGTGGCCGCCTGCTGCCCGGCCTGCTGCCCGAKGGGCTGAGGCCGGGGGTCCTTCTCCTCCAGGGCCAGGCTCCGGGGGCGAGCATCAGCCCCGGCCCCTCCATAATACTCGGCTTCATCGTCCTGCTGGGAGGAGCAGTCGGYGAAAGGGGGCCACCCGCACCCCTGGCTGGCCCCTGCTCCGGGCTCGGGCTCCGGGCGGCCCCGACGCATCAACACCAGCAGCTTCAGCTCGTTGAAGAACATGCGGATCCGGTACTTGAACATCATGGACGTCCCAGATGTGACCACAGGAGATGGGGAAGATGGGGGGGGGGACTATTAGGGAGAAGGGAGGGGAGATTACCTGTGCCTCTTACTTACATAGAGAGGAGGAGAAGGAGGGTGTAAGGGGAGCTGGAGTGGCACACCTGAGACCCCCATTTGGGCACAAAGGGGGCATCAGGGACCAGGAAGGGATGAAGGAAGGGATGCGTTTACAGGTGTAAGGAAAGGCCTGAGCTACAGAGAAGGGGGGTCCATCCAGACCTGCAGGCATGCGGGATGAGGAGGGCAGGGAGAGAGGGAATCTTTAAGGGAAAGCAGGGCGTCGGATCCGCATCCAAGGCAAGCCCGGGGCTGGACTTCTCCTCCTCCTCCTCCTCCTTCTTCCCGCAGCAAGGGCCGCTTCTCCTTTTCCTCCTCCTCCTCCTTTTCCTCCTTCCCTTCTTCTTCCCGGGCTCTTTTGTCTGCAGCAGCGCTAGGGGCATCTCCGCTCCCTCCCGCGCCGCCGCCGGGCTTGGAGAAGCCGCATCCCGGCTCTTTTGCACCGGCCTGGCTTCCCGGCAAAGCAGGTAAAGCAGGGCTCGGGCCCGGGAGAGCGAGCGTGCGCGTGCCTGAGCGCGTGCCACAACCAAGAGGCGCTTCTTCTCCTCCTGCTGCTGCTGCTGATTGCGATGCTGATGCTTGATGCTGCAAGCCACGGTCCGGCTCTTGATGCAAGCAGATAGGTCGCTCCTTCTGGCTCTGCTCCTCGCCTTTCCTTCTCCTCCTCCTGCAGCCACCTCCGCGGCGGCGGTGATGGAGGAGGCTCAGCGCCTGGGAGGAGCGGGAAGATGGCTTCTCCTTCCGGTCCAGCGCGTTAAATAAAACATTTTTGGGGAGAGGGAGGGGGAAGAGGAGGAGGAGAGAGAGCGAGAGAGAGAGCGGGTGGCTGCGTGGCCGCGTGGGGAGGGACTCGGGTGGGGCGGGAGGACAAACACATCCGGAGAAACAGAGAGAGAGGGAGAAGGATAGCGGGAGAGGCACGCACACAAAGCCCGAGCCCACGGGGGACAGTGCGTAACCGCTGCGCCACTCTCCAGGCTGTGGGTCGACCCCGGCCACGTGGAAGGAGGCAAGGAAGGGGAGAAAAGAGTCCCCTGGAAAGAAGGGAAGCGCCTCCTCCTTCCCTTCCCTCCTTCCCGTCTTCTTCCCTTCCAGCCAGACACATCTGAGAGATTCCTCGATAGAGGTGGGGAGGGGACACACACACACACAGAGAAGGAGGGAGAGAAGCCATTTTTCAAAGTCTTGTCTCGCCAGATTGGGAGCATCCAGTATTGGGCATCTCATCCCCCAATCTGGAAAGGGTGACATCTCCTTTCTGCATAAAGCACAACCCCCCTCTCCCAGGAAATCCCCTCAAAGAATCCTTTGGGAAGATTTTTTTTTTTTGAGAAACTGCAAGTCGCATCTGGCGTGAGAGAATTGGCCGTCTGCAAGGACGTTGCCCTGATGTTGTTGATCTGTTACCATCCTTGTGGGAGGCTTCTCTCATGTCCCTGCATGAGGAGCTGGAGCTGACAGAGGGAGCTCATCCGCTCTCTCCCCGGATTCAAACCTGCGACCTGTTGGTCATAGAATCATAGAATCAAAGAGTTTTGCCCCTCCGTGCTGATCCCCACATCTATTCCTTCAAAGGATGAAAAGATAGAATCATCGAATCAAAGAGCTGGAAGAGACCTCATGGGCCATCCAGTCCAACCCCCTGCCAAGAAGCAGGAATATTGCATTCAAATCACCCCTGACAGATGGCCATCTGTTTAAAAGCTTCCAAAGAAGGAGCCTCCACCACACAAAGGTCACAGAGAGATTCATCTCAAAAAGTCTTACTCTAACCAAAGCTTGAGTTTTGCCCCTCCGTTCTGATCCCAACATCTATTCCTTCAAAGGATGAAGAGATAGTATCATAGAATCAAAGAGTTGGAAGAGACCTCATGGGCCATCCAGTCCAACCCCCACCAAGAAGCAGGAATATTGCATTCAAATCACCCCTGACAGATGGCCATCCAGCCTCTGTTTAAAAGCTTCCAAAGAAGGAGCCTCCACCACACTCCAGGGCAGAGAGTTCCACTGCTGAACAGCTCTCACAGTCAGGAAGTTCTTCCTCATGTTCAGATGGAATCTCCTCTCTTGTAGTTTGAAGCCATTGTTCCACTTCCTAGTCTCCAAGGAAGCAGAAAACAAGCTTGCTCCCTCCTCCTGTGGCTTCCTCTCACATATTTATACATGGCTATCATATCTCCTCTCAGCCTTCTCTTCTTCAGGCTAAACATGCCCAGCTCCTTAAGCCGCTCCTCATAGGGCTTGTTCTCCAGACCTTGATCATTTTAGTCGCCCTCCTCTGGACACATTCCAGCTTGTCAATATCTCTCTTGAATTGTGGTGCCCAGAATTGGACACAATATTACAGGTGTGGTCTAACCAAGCAGAATAGAGGGGTAGCATTACTTCCCTAGATCTAGACACTATGCTCCTATTGATGCAGGCCAAAATCCCATTGGCTTTTTTTGCCGCCACATCACATTGTTGGCTCATGTTTAACTTGTTGTCCACGAGGACTCCAAGATCTTCTCAGCCATCAGGCGACTCAGAGCGTGTCTTCAGTCCTGCTGGCACAGGGGGGGTCTTCAAACTGTTTAAACGAAGGGCCAGGTCACAGTCCCTCAAACTGTTGTAGGGCCAGATTATAATTTGAAAAAAAATATGAATGAATTCCGGATCCCCATGTTGTCATCTGGTCATCAACCATAATAAACTTTACTTACTGAATGAATTCCTATGCACACTGCACATATCTTATTTGTAGTGCAAAAAACACTTTAAAACAATGCAATAATTTATTTCTTTATTTATTGTCATGTCAGGAGCGACTTGAGAAACTGCAGATCGGTTCTGGTGTGAGAGAATTGGCCATCTGCAAGGACATTGCCCAGGGGATGCCTGGATATTGTGATGTGTTACCATCCTTGTAGGAGGCTTCTCTCATGTCTCCGCATGAGGAGCTGGAGCTGATAGAGGGAGCTCATCCGCCTCTCCCCGGATTCGAACCTGCGACCTGTCGGTCTTCAATCCTGCCGGCACAGGGGTTTACCCACTGCACCACCGGGGGCTCCAATAATTAAAATGAAGAATTTTTTTAACGAATATAAACTTATTAGTATTTCAATAAGTGTAGGCCTGCTTTTGGCCTACTCTTTTGTTGTTGTGTGCTTTCAAGTCGTCTCAGACTTAGGTTGACCCTGAGTGAGGGCCGGGTAAATGACCTTAGAGGGCCGTATCCAGCCCCCAGGCCTTAGTTTGAGCACCCCTGGTTTAACCAGGGGCTGCCTTTGGGAAGATGATGCTCTGGCTTCCTCTTCTTAGCATTGCATCCCCCCATCTGTGCCCCTTCGCACATGAGCCACAAACTCCTCAGGAAATTCCCTCAAATAATCCTTTGGGAAGATGATGCTCTGGCTTCCTCTTCCTCCTCCTTAGGAAGACACTGTCTTGCCCTTCCTTGGAAGCTTTTAAACAGACTGGATGGCCATCTGGGGTGCTTTGATTGTGCTTTTCCTGCACGGCAGAATGAGGTTAGACTAGATGGCCCATGTGGTCTCTTCTGACTCTATGATTCTCTGACCCTGAGGGATCCTTCGTGGCTCACCCAGGGTGTATCTACGTCAGCCATGGGCAAACTTTGGCCGTCTAGATGCTTAGGACTTCAATTAAGCTGCTGAGGGGGGAAAGGAAGGGGCCTGAGACTGTTAGGAATTGTGGGAATTGAAGTCCAAAGCACCTATATAATCATAATAAACTTTATTTATACCCCGTCACCATCTCCTCAAGGAGACTTGGGGCAGCTAACATGAGGCCAAGCCTAAGAATTACAATAAAGTGAAGTAAAATACATACAACAGATAATAACATCAAATCAAATGAAAACAATAATAAAATGATACAATAGGGTAAACACAAGCTATAAAATACAATGTAAAAGAATTGAACAGAGTGGCCAAATACAAGGTATACATTTATAAAACCCTGGATGAAATGGTTACATAGAGTAGTGTATCTGATGGGAGATTCAGATGGGACAAACGATGAGGTTGGTTTTTCATTAAGGGATGATGTAAAGTGCATCTAAAGGACAAATTTGTACTGGGACGGTCATGGTCTGGAAATTTGTTGTTCATTCCTCAAAGGCACACCGGAAAAGCCAAGTTTTTAGACTTTTCCTAAAGACTGTGAGAGTGGGTGCTTGTCTAATCTCCCTGGGTAGTGAGTTCTAGAGCTGAGGGGCCACCACGGAGAAGCCCCTCTCCCATGTCCCCACAAGCCATGCTTGCAATGGAGGTGGAAGCAAGAGGAGGGCCTCCCCGGAAGATTGAAGAGATTGTGCAGGTTCATAGAAGGAAATGTGATCACGAAGGGCCAAAGTTTGCCCATGACTGATCTACGTTGTACCACTAATGCAGGTTGTCAGCACTTTAACTGCCAGGGTGTAATGCTATGGAATCTTGGGAGTTGTCCTTCCATAACCATCCTGGGCCTGGTTCTGCTCAACATCTTTATTAGTGACTTAGATCAATGGTTCTTAACCTGTGGCTCCCCAGGTGTTTTGGCCTACAACTCCCAGAAATCCCAACCAGTTTACCAGCTGTTAGGATTTATGGGAATTGAAGGCCAAAACATCTGGGGACCCCAAGTTGAGAACCACTGGCTTAGATGAAGAGTTAGAAGGCATGATCACCAGACAACACCAAATTGGGAGGGATAGCCAATACCCCATAAGACAGGAGCAGAATTTGAAACAACCTTAACAGCTTGGATGGGCCAAAACTTACAAAATGAAGTTCAACAGGGACAAATGCAAGATGCTCCATTTAGGCAGAAAAAAATGAAATGCAAAGATACAGAATGGGGGACGATGCCTGGCTCGACAGAAGTACGTGTGGAAAAGATCTTGGAGTCCTCATGGACAACAAGTTAAACATGAGC